CATATGTTTTTAAAACAAAACTATTTTTGTGATTTGAGATAATTACTGAAAAACTAGCTCAAAAGCTCTCTTGGAAATTGGTGTTTCCTCTCTTGCTCAAATGTGAAAACATTTTAACTCTTGGAAATACTTAGTTCCCGTATAATCTTTGAAGAAATGAACTTTACTCTTATTCTTTACTCAACTCAAATCTTAAGTCTTAAAACAAAGTTAAAACGTTTATAAAAGACTTTTGAAAAACTCTATGAACTTCTCTTGACTTAACTCTTAACCTCTTGACTTGACTCTTAACTTTACTTGAATTGAATTATGGATTCAAGGTTCATGATCTCATGTTTATGGATGATTTCATGGTGTTTATACGTACCTTAGAGTATAGAAATCGACTAGAAAACATAGGTACGTTGCTAAAGAACTAGTACGGAAAGAAGGGGGAAAAAGTGGGAGAATTGGCGTCCCTAGCGCTCTGAGAGGCGCGGGGCGCCAGCCCTGAAATTTGAGAGCCTGGGTTGGGGTGCTCTGTCTGGCACGGTGCCCCAGAGCCCAAACTTCAGAGCCCCTGTTGGGGAGCTCTGGCTGGGGCGGCGCCCCAGGCCCCTGCCCAGGTGAATTCCGACTTTTCTTCTTCGTTTTTCAACTCTAAACCTCCTATTTCAACTTGGTTCTTTTCCCAAACACTTAGAATCGATTATATCCTCAATGTATGTAAGATTCTACATGAAATAACATCTAAAAGCATGAATCAAACTCAAGAAACTTCAACAACAAGAACCCACAAGATTTCAAACGAATTATCATCAAGAACTCATAATTTTCTTTCAAAACCATACAACTTCGCTGAATTTAATCATGATTGGAGCGTGAGTGAACTAACCCAACACTATGTGATCTCACATACCTCGTATGGATCACCCCTTGACGAAATCCACGATCTTAGCTTCGAGAATTTGACGATTCTTGCTTCTTCTCTTCTTTTCTTTTCTCTAAAAACCTAACTCAATTTTCAAAAGCGTAAGCTGATTGGTCAGTTTAGACCCCTAAGTAATTACCAAAAACGAATTAATTTAATTGGATATGAAAAAGACCAAAATACTCTTCCAAAATCTGGTTTTGACTTTCTATATCTAGACAGCCCAACTTCAAATGAACATATCTCACTCATACAAACTAGGAATTGAGTAAACTCGGCGGCGTTGGAAAGATAATTCCAAAATCTTTCATAAGGTATAGAAAACACACCTAACTCATCATGAGCTAAGAGTTATGATCATTTGAAGTTGACCCAAAACCCAAACTTAACCAATTTTCCTGATTTTTCATTCTTTCCAAAAACAACTCTTTCCAATTCTAACTCTTTCTAGTTCTTTCAAATAGCAAGGTGTTACAAAGACTATATAACTAAAAAAACATTTACAAGATGTCATAAAACAATCACTTCGAGAATCACAAACAAGAGATGTACTCTCTCAGTCCCAAAATAAGTTTCGCTTTAGCAAAAATAAATTTCCCAAAATAAATGTTCAGGAAATGACATATTTTCTATTCCAAAATCATAATGACTAAATTTAAAGTTCACAACTACATCAAGAAAGAAGGCAAGTGGGAGGAGTTGAAAATATTGCAAAGAAATTCCCCACGTTTTGAAAAATAAATAACTTTGTTAATGTTAGAGACAATATATCAACAAAAGACCGTTTACTCGCCTTTTTTTCTCTGCTATTTGAATGTGGGTCTTAACTTAATTGGGTGAATTTTTAATTAGTCAGGTAGCTCCTATAATTATGGATAAAAATCAAATAAAATTTTGTAAAACATATTCAACAGGTCGAAGATTTATTTCTTTGAAATAATGTTCAAATATTTTTGATACTATCGACTTTGAATATTATTTAAATAAATTGGAGTACATATGAATTAATTTAAGTTAATTATTCTATTTTGTTAAAATTATTTAATTAGTTTTAATTCATCTTATTCAATCTTTAGCCGGATTCAATATTCATTAATAACTTAATTTGGCCAAGTTCTAAACTTAAGTTGCTTAATTGCAATCTGAGCTTATGTTGTCCCAAATTAGGCCCAAAACCAACAATAATTCCTACAACTAAAGACCCAGCCCAACAATAATTCCTACACCGCACCGTCTTCTTCTTCCTCGCGACCCCAATGACGCGTGTTCGTCTCGTCACTTTCTTAACGACTCTCTCCTCTTCATTCAGTTGGAGATTTGTACCGTTGGCCAACAAAAAAATGAAATTAATTTAAGTTAATTATTCTATTTTGTTAAATTAATTAATTAGTTTTAATTCCTCTTATTCAATCTTTAGCTGGATTCATTAATAACTTAATTTGGCTAAGTTTTCAATCTGAGCATATGTTGTTCCAAATTAGGCCCCAAACCAACAACAATTCATACAACTAAAGGCCCATCCCAACAACAATTCCTACACCGCGTCTTCTTCTTCTTCCTCGCGACCCCAATGACTTGTGTTGCTCTCGTCTTTTTCTTAACGACTCTCTCTCTCTTCATTCAGTTGGAAATTTGTACCGTTGGCCAACACAAATTTGAAATTAATTTAAGTTAATTATTCTATTTTGTTAAAATTAATTAATTAGTTTTAATTTCTCTTATTCAATCTTTAGACGGATTCATTAATAACTTAATTTAGCTAAGTTTTAAACTTAAGTTGCCTAAGGTTGCAATCTGAGCATCTGTTGTCCCAAATTGGGGACAAAACCAACAACAATTCCTATAACTAAAGACTCAGTCCAACAACACATATGTTGTCCCAAATTGGGGACAAAACCAACAACAATTCCTATAACTAAAGACCCAGTCCAACAACAATTCCTACAGTGCGTCGTCTTTTTCTTCCTCCTCGTGACCCCAATGACGTGTGTTCCTCTCGTCTCTTTCTTAACGACTCTCTCCTCTTCATTCAGTTGGAGTTTTGTACTGTTGGCCAACAAAAGTTTGAAATTAATTTAAGTTAATTATTCTATTTTGTTAAAATTATTTAATTAGTTTTAATTCATCTTATTCAATCTTTAGCCGGATTCAATATTCATTAATAACTTAATTTGGCCAAGTTCTAAACTTAAGTTGCTTAATTGCAATCTGAGCTTATGTTGTCCCAAATTAGGCCCAAAACCAACAATAATTCCTACAACTAAAGACCCATTTTAATTTTTCTTATTCAATCTTTAGACAGATTCATTAATAACTTAATTTGTCTAAGTTTTAAACTTAAGTTGTCTAAGTTTGCAATTTGACCATATGTTGTCCCAAATTGGCCCCAAAACCAACAACAATTCCTACAACTAAAGACCCATCCCAACAACAATTCCTGCAGTGCGTCATCTTCTTCTTCCTCGCGACCCCAATGGCGCGTGTTCCTCTCCTCTCTTTCTTAACAGCTCTCTCCTATTCATTCAGTTGGAGATTTGTACAGTTGGCCAACAAAAAAATTGAAATTTGAATTCCCAGTTTGCTCGACAATGTGTTCTTAATAATGTTTTAGTTAGATAGATGGCAATTAGTTAGAAAATTTCATGTCTTTGATTAGCATTTTTTCTTTAATATATCTTTTAGTTTTATCTCGGGCGAATGTTGAAGACGTGAAATGTAAGGATAGTGATTCTAACATATCTTTCTATCTAATGAATGTTGAATTGTTTTTATTGGTTATGAAATTAGTTGTTGGTTGGTGCTTTAACTGGTTATGAAATGCTCTCTTGGTTCTATTGCTCAAGTTGAATACTCCCTCGAATCCCACGCTAGTGCTCCTTTCTTGTTCTAGTACAGTTTCAAGCCTGTTTCATTATTTTCTCTCTTAAGTTATCTCCAGGATTCAAGGGACGTTGGTGGCGTATTCATCGAACTAGGATGATATGAATTTGATCTCTTTATGAATATTTCATTAATTTGTGGAATATTCGAGATGCCTCCTCAAGGGAATATAATACCCTAGTTATAGGCAAGAGTTTGGGTTTAGGGTAAAGTAGTCTCCAAGAACCCTGACTGAAACAGAATTCATATGGTAGAGTCCTATGAAATTTTTATGTCTATATGATGTTTATAATTGCTTAGGTTACATAGGTTTGTAATCTTTTGTCGAGGCTCAAAGTTTGGTGAAGTTGAGTTAAATCCTTACAGAGGTGTAGGTCGTATTTTTTTATTCTTTATCAATCGGGGTTTTCCACGATAAAGAATTGTATCATTAATTTACTTGTTTTACGTAACACAGTGTCAGTACTCGACAAAGGAACAAATAAAATAACGTGTTCCTTAGGCAAATTGACTTAGTATTCTTACCGTTAGTTTACCATTTTGTCCCCCTATAACAAATACAAATCTAATTAAATAGTAATATTTTAGTTACATACAGGTGAATTAGAAGTTCAACAGTAGTACTTTAATGCTTTACACTGAATTCACCTAAAATGTATCCACCGTTATTTGCTCATTAACTAATATTCTCTTCTTTTCCATAAAAAAATCTAAAGAATTTGAGAAGTTGCATTGATTACATACTCAATACTAGATCACAGTCATCTATAAAGCAAATAGTGACATGAATACAATATGAAACTAAGGGGCAAAAAAATGGAAAGAAAGGAAGAGAAAGGACCATAAATTCTTTGAACTAGCTTATAGAGACTAGAACAATGGGCGAATATATGTTGGTGGGAATATACACAAAATTGGTGAAAGGTGTAGTAGACCACATCAACCTATTTCAAAATCTAAATATATCTCCGATGAAAACTCATCTTTGTACATTTTTGAGCAATTAATAATTCAAACAAATGCTTTTGAAACATGTACATTGTTAAAGATTTTTTTAATTAAATAGTGGAGCTTGTAGCTCTTTTTATCCATTTCAAATAAATTTGTACAAAACAAAATCAATCCAAAAATTGGATCAGCCCAAAATGATGTAACGAGAGAATATTTGGCCCAGTCCGTTAAAAGGAACGACCAACTTCTATATCAAAACCCTAGAAGATAGGGTTTTCCAAATTTGAGCTCATTTTCTTTCTCCACATATCGCCGCTTGGAGTGGTATGAAGTCCAACCTTCATCTTCTTTGCCATGTTAACCCTGTTTCTCAGCTTGCAAAGGTAAGATTTTTTTAGCTTGCTCTTTTCCTTCTTCATTTGTAATTTCTAATTTCCACCTTTTCTCCTGTAGAGACATAATCCGGTGGAACAAGAATCTCAGAAGTGGTTTCAATAAAGGAGCCTGGTATTGTGGTAGCTCGCAACTCTCTGTAAGTGGCCTTCTTTCTCTGCCTCTTTTCCCTATTTTATTCTTCTTTGATTTTATTTTTCTAAGCATAAATGGAGATATTCAAACGCTCCTGACCTACTTCACTGTGGAATTTCTTCCCAACCCCAGATTTGTAACTCCCTATCCTACCCCAGACCCTCACTTTTTGCTTGAGATATTTCTTTGTAAGTTGTTGTAGTCTAGACTAGGTTGCTTAGTGGCCAAAGTTATGTAAGTCATATAATGTCAAAAACATTTTTTAAAAATATCATAGTTGTGAGGCTTGTTGTTGAAAATGATTCTAAAGTAATGCATGCTCATGTAAATGTTTATATAGCTCTTGAAATTTGATCTTTCTTGCTTTGATCCTTAGTATTGAAATGTTTGACTTATCTGCGTTCAAAATTCTTTTGCACTCCACTGATAGCTGCTAAAAATCATGCCATTGTCTAATCTTATCTTCACTTGCAAAGGAAGTGGCGATTGACGTAGCTTACCTCTCTTGGCTCCACTCTCTTAAAGCCTTATTTTCTTTGGCGATAAATCTCTATCCCTTGCTGCTCTGTTTATATTTCCTTCAATTTATTCATCATCATCCCTCTCTCTTCTCCTTTGTTTCTCCTCATTAGTGATCTCCTCTAAATCAGAAATGTTATATCTGATAACCATCCATTTTCCCATGTTTGGAACCTGATTTCTCTTCCCCTTCATTCTATTTCCCCCCTCCATTACCTTGTCCTTTTCTATAGAATTCAATTCACCCGGACTAGCAATATTCTCTCTCTCCTTACTCTTTGTCCTTATTTCTTCCCCTTCTTTATTGTTCGACCCACATCCCCTTGTCAAGTTATTTTTTTACCGGAAACACTTCCTCTACTCATTTTTTTGTATTGACTATCCGTTCCTTTTTTGTTGCTCTCCCTGCGACTCCCCTGTATTTTCCTAATCCTCTCCAATCCTCTCCCTACTTGTTCTTCTGCTCTTTGAGATCACCCTGATCTTTATTCTTTTGTTGTTCCTCTATCTTGGAAGATTGATGTGTCTACTCCCCCTCCTGATTTCTTTTTTGTCTCTCCTTCTCCTTTCCTTTTTTGGGGTATAACTCTGAATGGTTGACATAGCATTCCTCTTCATTATGTATATTAATGAGATAAGAGAGCTATTTTTATTTATTTAAGAATTTTGTTTATATAAGAATATTATTGATAAAATTCTTAGTGTATTAGTTTGATAGTAGTTGTATTTTAAGAGTGTAAGTAAATTTTCATGTATGATAATGTATTTTTCATTGAAATGATTGGAACTAAATATTTCTGTAATTTTCCTTCTTTTTTTTGTGATTGGTAAAAGACATATTTATAATATTTCAGACATGTAATAGTATTTTGAGTAAATTAATTGATCCCAATCCTATATATGATGTGGTATGCTTCTTTAATCTAGAATCATATTTTTTTTCTCCTTTTTCTTTCATTTTTCTAAATTATTTTGAAAAGTCATATATATAACTTACACATGTTTATTTTCCTAACTTCTACACTTAATTAATATTAATACCCATAATTCTCAAGCCTTTTAAGTCTGTAATAATTCTCAATTGTTTAATGTGCAATTTTGTGACACCTAATTGAATCACACCAAAATAACATTGCATTTCTTTCCTCTAAAGCATCTCTAAGATTGTCCAACATGTACTCTTTTTCACTACTTCTTCAACTATCCAACATGTACTCATTTTCATGAAGAAGCCAAAAAGTTAATTAGGTGATGGCTACAACATCACCTTTTTGGATCTTTTTAAGCCTTCTTTAAGGTAGATAGTTTTTCTATGACTTTCATAAAGGTTACTCTCAAAGAACTAATTATAATACTTTTCAAGTGCAAAATTTCAGGTTTGAGGATAACTTTTTAGCAGCTACAAAGAGAAAAATTTAGAAGGTATGTAATTTATTTTTTATTTTTATCTCCCCTTTTTATTACTTTTAAATTTTAGTGTTTCATTTTTATTTGAATTTTCATCAATAAATATATGCTAAATAATGAAAAAGAAATTCACATTCATTAATTACTAATATGTAAAGATCAGTTGTTTTTATTAATGAGACATGCGTTTAACTTTTGCAGGAAATTTTGAGATTTATTCGTATATTGCAATATCATTTTTACAGAACATTGAGAAGAGTTTGTCAAAATCAGGTGAAGTTTGTGGTTATTATTTATCATAATTTCTTAGTGTTTTATTATTTTATTTTTGTAGTTATTAATCGAAAACTTGAAACTTCTCAAAAAAAATAAAAATGGTCATGATTATGGAACGAATGAAAATTTAAAATTTTAAGGATATTTTTCATGCAACATTCTTCGAAGTTAATTCACACAATATTTCCTCCTTCGGAAAAAAATAACAGTATGTCTAATTATAGGAGCTGAGAATGCGGGAAGGACAATGGAAAAAAAAATTGATTCAGTAAACATCCGGTGCGGGTAAGTTTTATCCTTACATTGAATGTGTAGAAAACGTTTATTATTTACTATATTTATATCATGAAATGTTTTCAAACATAATCCCATCAATTACTTGAGTAAATTAACAAAAACGTTTAGAAAGTGAAATTAATCTCATAGAACCCAATTAAATGTAGCAATCAAATGTAATAAAGTCTAATTACACTTTTTTTTGTCATATTTCACATTTTAAGTGCAATAACGTTCTCAATAGAAATATGCAAATGCTTATTAATTAGTTATTATTTTTAAAAATAGAACTAAATGCATCTATTAGAAAGGTCATCAAAGCAACCCATATTTATTTGATTTTTGCCTTTTAAAAGTATTTGATAACTATTTTTAAAAATTTAATATCAATAGAGGAGATTTATATCAAATAATAATAACGTTAAAATTATGGAAATCATAAAAAGTATTACTTTTTAATTTTATGATATACCACTTTGTTTCATTTGCATTGTTATTGAGTTTCTGTACGTAAGTTGAAGTAGTGTTTTTCAATATTTGAACCTATTTTAGGCAGAATATAAAGAGAAAAAGGAAGGATGATGAAAAAATATATAGAAATAGTGAGGAAAGATAATAAATCGCTTCTATAATATTTGTATATTTATTGAATATATATTAGTTTCACGATTTTAACAAGTTTTTAACATTAATTTATTTGATATAAACACAATATATAATTTTACTTTTATATTGGATGAAATCGTAGAAATTTAACTCTCCGCTTAAAGGAACACAAATAAATATCCAAGAAAAACATGTTTTTGTAAAAACTTATATATTAAATAAGCTTTTATTTTGATATATTGCTTGAATCAAATTCTCTTTTCGTTACAAAAATAAGGAGTAATTTTAGCGATGTAAAAAATATTTTCAAAAGATAAACACTGTTTAAGCGATTTAAAATTATGAAACATATAAAACTAAAGTATTGATAATAAACTTAATTAAAATTTGAAATCTGAAATATTTAGTCATTTAGATAATACTACAAAAAATATTTAGAATATTTTAAGAACTAAACTATTCTAAAAAGTTGTTTGGTGAATTTAACGAGCTATTATAATAGTGTGAAGCGCGTCTAAGTTTACTAGTTTTCAATAAATATGAACATTGTCTTCGTCCAAATAAGTGTTACATCAGCACAAATAGAAAGAAATGAATATGTAAAAGAGAATATAGACAACTAACACAATTGATGAAGTATTTATTAAAACATAGTATTCCTAATTAATTGTTTTCCTAATTATAAGTATATATTATGGTATCTTTTTTCATATTATTATTATTTCAATTAAATTATTTTTTGTTGGAAAATTATTTTAAATAAATAATATAGAAATTAATTCTTTGTATGAATAATATTTTACATTTAACATATAAGTGAAATTTTTTAGGTAGTGGTAACAAATATGTATTTCATTTCATTGAATCTTCTTATTGGATCTGGTAAAGATAATATAAAATTATCAATTGAAATAATTTTCTTTTCCTAATTTATTGGTTTATTTCCACTTGACTCAATGAAATAAAGACTTTTCTATAATCTTTTGAGCATTTCTATTTGCTATATAATCTATAGCTTTCAAAAGCAAATCGACTTGACGGATTTCGATAAGTAAGAATCAATTTTAGCTTGAGAATCTTATTTATCACCTCCTCATTCGAATGCACTGTTAAAGCCATGAGGAAATATGAATTTTATATCGCACCTCTACTTTCCTAATACATATTGTTGCTGCAAATTCATCTATTTTATGCATCTGTCACAAAACAAAACAAATAACGATATAATTAAGTTATATACTGATATATTTAGTTGTCAGTATAAATAACTTAATTATATCGTTATTTATTTTCTTTTGTGGCAGATGCCGGAGATGGATTGATTTTTAACAACAATATGTGTTAGGCAAGTAGAGGCGTGATATGAAATTCGTATTCCCATCATTGTTTTAACAGTACATTCAAATGAGGAAAGTGATAGATAAGATTTTTCAAGCTGAAATAGATTTTTACTTACCAAAACCCCTCAAGTATGATTTACTTTTGAAAGTTATAGATAATATAGAGAATAAAAAGGTTTGAAGAAGAATCTTGGAAGATGAACCCTAACCTTGGTGTTTCTTGAAGTTCTTGAGCGTAGGAATTTAGGAATGAATGAGAGAGTTTGATTATGGAAAACTGATTTTCTACATGATTAGGGTTATTTAGATAACTCCCCAAAGGTTTTTAGGACAAAAATACCGTAATTTTTTTAATTCAAGGTGAGAGTGAGGTCCGTTTTCTCTCTGAATTGCAAAGTGATCGCGGAACATCTGCTAGGTTAAAGCGACTCTAGCAAATTAGTCATAACTTTTTACTCCGAAGTCTGTTGATGCAAACTTGGCGGTGTTGAAAAGAAAACTCATAAAACTTTAATTTGATAAGATATGGGTTGCCTAACTCTTCATATTCTAAGAAATATGGTCGATTGAAGTTGACCTTATATGGACTCATGTGAAAACTTAGCCGATAGAAATGTTTAGAACTTGGCTTGGTATTAGAGATCCCTTATGACCTTAAACCACATCTGATACACCTTACACACTTATGAATTAACCTTAACACACGTTTACAAGTAGGATATCACCCGGTTCAATTAAATATGCTCACTATGAATGGTTCGAATCCTTAGCATAGAATTTGCGATGTGTTACAAGTGTTCTCCTCTCCATTGTTTCCATTATGAATTTTTACTATTGTATTTGCTTTACATACTTGATTTTTGTTGTGCTTTGCTTGAGGTACTGAGGATTTATCTGAAACAAACTCTCCACCTTCTCAAAATAGGAGTAAAACAGCATATACATTATCCTTCCTAAACTCCACTTATAAAATTATATTAAATATGCTTTTGTTGTTACAATGTAAAAAATCGAGATAATATATAAATACCCCTTCAAACTATATCCAAAATCTCAACGACACACCTAAAATTAACTACAATCCTATTGCCCCCTAAACAATTTATAATGGAATAAATGGCATCTGAAATGTTGACGTGACAAAAGTAACCAAATAAGTTTCCTTTGTGTTTATTACACGGGCCATATCATTTTTAAGCATTAAATCTTTTTACTAAAGCACCGAAGAATTTGAAGTTACCACATCGTAAACGGATTTTGGCTTCCCTCCATTTCATCAAGTACGCATCTGGATGAAAGACGTGTACTATTCAATTGTAAAAAGCCAAGAATATATTACATTAAGTAGTTTCATAATCATAGTCAAGTGAATAGGTTTTGAAAAAAATAATTTCTTAACTTTGGTAAGAAAAATAATTCCTACAAATCTTGGAACCCTTTGATTTCATTTTATATTTCTATATTCAAATATTAATATTGTACATTATTTAATCGCTTTCTGTGCTACAAATTTATTCTTGAAATATTATGTTGAGAAATTTAAAAAATAAAAGAAAGAATTATCATTGATGATAGAAATCATATAATAAAAATGGGAAGTAAAAAATTTGTTTGAATTACAAATGTGAAAGTATCCAAAATCAAAATATTCTTTTTAAAAAAAAATAAAAGAAAAAGGCAAAATATTTTGTGAGACTATTGTTAGGCTAAACAAATTAAACGTTGTTAAGTTCATGTTCAATAATTTTAATATTTAACTATAAAAATATAAAGTAAAATTAATGATATAAATATATGGATACCGAAAATTGAGAAGAATTAATTATTTTTACTAAATTTAGAGAGGATATTTTTTCAAAACTTATTCACTTAACTATGGTTATGATATTAGTTAATGCAATATAATCTTGACATTTAATAATTAAATAATACACATGTCTCTCATCTAGACGTGTACTTGATGAAATGAAGAGAAATGTAATGGAGGGGAGCCAAACCAGAATGGGAAGAGATAAAGGAAAAATAAGTTATTTTGTTGGATTTTTTTATTTGGTTTCGGATTTAGGAAAATTAAAAAAATAATTTTTTTGTATATATTATACCTGTTAATTATCATCATTATTTTTTGAAAAAAAACCAAAACTAAATCAAATATTGTCGATTTTTAAAAATCTAAAATAGAATAAAAATCAATTTATTTAATCTATTTTGTTAGATTTTTCAATTTGGATAGTTTTTTATTTAAACCGTGAACACCTTACAACTCCTTATTTCAAAATTTCAAATCTCACATTTCAAAAAAAAAAAACTTATCTCTAAAATCCTTTTGTAGGACATATATATTATTTTTACACGATCAATTTATAAAACTTAAATTATTATGTTTTTTTCTCAAATGATTTTTTTATTTTTATTTTAAAAAAACAAATAGAAAGTTGGGAACATATTCATCTGCAAATAGAAAATCTCGTCTTCTTCTTAGGGAGGGAGAAAAATTAACAGATTACAAGCTCTGAACTGAAAATCTCTCATTAAGCAAATTGAACTGCCGGTAAATACTATAATATATAACCGCTCCGTCAACCGTTTTTCCCTTCACAAATCCCCAAAATACTCTCTCTAAGAAAAACCCATTGAACTTTCAAGAATTCATCAATGGCGTCCACTGTTAATCTCTTCATCTTCCTCATTTCCATTTTCATCTGCACTGCAAACCCAATGTTCTGTTCAACATCAGAATCTCATCGTCACCTTCTGCAAACTCCATCTCTGTCTCCATCTTCATCACCACTTCCGTTAGCTGTCATTCTCTCAAATCTTGGATTCAATGACCTTGCTGATGCTTCTCTCAATTCCACCATCTCCACCGTTAATTTCCCACTTACCATTTTTGCCCCTACTGATTCCTCCCTCCTCACTTGCCCTTCTTGCTCCATTCCCCTTCTTCTCCAAGAACACTCTGTTCTTGGTCTCTACTCGTTTCACTTCCTCCGGAGTTTAGCATTTGGCACCAAGATTGAAACTTTAGCCCCAACTCGATGTCTCACGATTACCCCATCTCGATCCGGAAATTCCTCAAAGGAAGTGTTCGTTAATGGGGTGGAAATTACTAAGCCGGATATCTACAAGAATGGGTTCTTCATTGTTCACGGTATACAGGGGTATGTCTCTCATCTTTCTTCAATTTCTTGCAGAATTGAGAGTATGACTACTTTATCCTTCCCGTTTCTTCCGCCACCTACGGCAGCGTTTGCTGCCACGCGCTTGATGTTAAAAGATGTAATGGGTCGTTTGCGTACTGGTGGTTATACTTTGGTGGCACTTGCTATGAGGGTTAAGTACCCTGAACTAGCGGATTTGAAATCGATGACTGTTTTTGCAATGGATGATTTGTCTATTTTTGGTATTGGAATTGGGCATGAGTATGTTGCAAATTTTGGGTTTCATATTGTGCCTAATAGGCTGTTAATGGCGTCGGAGTTGGCGGAATTGGCTCCTAATACAGAGCTGATGACAATGGACAAAGAGGGGAAATTGGTGGTGACTACTGCAGGTGGCAATGGTCCTTTGGTTCCAATGAGGATCAATTATGTTAAAGTCAGAAATTATGATCTTGTTTACAATAAAAGGATTGTGGTTCATGGACTCTCAACGCCATTTCCACGTATTCATCTTCATGATCGCTCTGCTGATGTATCCATAAGAATTTCAGATGGATCCTTAGGTCAATGAAGAAATATTATAAGCACTGTGAAATGATGGGGCATCAATGTAAAGGAGAAAAGATCATCCTACTATACTGTACTCTTGTTTGAAGCATTTTTTGTTAGTTCTAGAGAGGAGAAAACATTATTGTATAGATTTTTACTTGCTCTTTACAGAAATATAATGCCCAATTTGTTCTTGTTGTTGATTGTTCATCCTGACTTTTACTTCTTGCTTTTATCGTTAGTGAGTGACCAAGCCAAACTATTACTTAAGCTTCCGTTTGATCATAGATTTTGAAGTTGAAACTTGAAACTTAAAAAAATGAGCTTTTAAAATTGCGTTTAAACGTACATTTTTCAACTTAAACATGTTATCACATTAATTAACTTATTCCAACTTTAAACCAATCCAAAAATGATGTCCAAGAATTGAGCATACATCATTAATATTGATATTTGCTCTATATGGCCTTTTTGACGCCAGTTGCCTTGGCGGTTAGTTCTAAAGTGGGTTAAACTCCTAATAATTCATTCTCACCCGCGAAGGAAATTTGAAAATAATAACTATTGTTTCTAAATTAATAAATTGTATTTGAAAATTGAAGTTGTGTTTTTAGAATTGTTTTTCAATTTTTGCGAGTGTTTTAGAGTGAAAAAAGCGAACAATTTTTTCTGTGTTTTTTTTTTTTTCAAATTCCAGAATTCAACTTCAAATTTTTTATGATCAAATGTGATTTTCAAAATTAAACTCCAAAAAATAATAATACTATAGGTCAAACGGCCACTAAGTTCTTGCATTATCCTTTCACTGCTATAAAATGTTCAAATTACAATAGAAATGTATCAAAATAATACTTTTGATGATTTATCCTGAGATCCGTTACTTTTTTCTCTAAAAACTTAATAGTAATCCTCATATTCAGATGTGTATTAATGAATAAAATTTAAAATTAAATTAATATACATCTTTACCTGATTTCATCACTTAACTAGTTAAGTTTGATAGATTAATACTCTTATAATTTATTATAAATATCGAATGCAAATAAGTATTTCAATTATTTTATAAATAAACACAAAAAAGTACTTCCACCAAAATGGAAGCGCCATAACAGGTAAAATTTGGGGGCAAACCCAAATAGTAAAATACACGATTTTGTCGGAATTGGATAAAGCTGAGGAAACAAAAGGATGATAGCAGCTCAGAGTCTCTCCTCCTCCGTTCTACTGCCGCTGCTTTGCCCTACACCGCCGGTCCACCGCCGCGTCGCTCGTTCTCAACTTTCCGATATTGAGTTCTCGTCGAAACTTCCGTCAATTACTTTCCTTTCCGCTCACAAATTTTCTAAACGTACAAGGACTAGTACAGTTCGTGGAATCAATTCCAATGACCCAAAAGAATCGGCGTTCTTCGACGAAAACGGAGTCGTTGAAGATATGGATAGCTATCTCAATCATCTTTCCCTAGAGTATGATTCTGTATGGGACACCAAACCCTCCTGGTAATTCCTTTTTTCCCCCTTTTTATGTTTGCATTTGCTTTCGTTTATCGATTCACTCATTGTTTGGAATGTATGGGTTTAGCACGTTGTAGTGCATTTTGTTGCTATCCATCCATGTTAGTAGCCGTATTATTGCTTCTGTTGTTGCTTTGTTCTTCAATTTTTATTACTATATGATATGTTGGATTGTAGCTAGAACAACAATTTTGTACAATCTCAAAAGGTTGCAAAATATTGTACTTGTTGACCCTCGCATGTCGCACAAACTATTTGTGATATGAATTGTATGTTACTAGTGTGGTGCCAGCTTGAGTCTAGTCCATCATGTGCGAAGAGTGAGATGTTGGATATTGATTTGGATCATGGATCACCCATGTGGACTGATCTGATGCGACCCGTTTGAAAGAGATAATTCCAAAGGAGGTTAGCTGGAAAATTACTCAATTTCCTAGAGAAAACTACTGCACAAAGATAAAAAAAAAAGTGAATATGAGATAGTTTTTCTATTGGTAGTTTTTCTAAGTCCTCTTTTATATATATTTTCTCCATCATAAGAGCAAAAGAGGGCGAATAAGAAAATATTCTTGTTTTGCTAAACACAAACACACAATAATATTAGGATAACTAGTTTGTGGAATCAAAGCTTTGTTTCTAAGAGATTCAAAGCAAATTTGGGGCGATTCTTGTGGTAGCAAGATCAACAATTTCCGCTGCTCAACATAGGAATCCAATCACATGCGGAAAGGATCCACTACTAACATAAGGATCATATTACTCGCAATACTCCGTACTTTATTCACTACGTTAGACGTAGTGAATTATCCGATCCCTCATCCTCCAAAGAGTTGAACTCGAGTTGAATTTTAACTTTATATGCATAATTACACTTGTCACCTATATGGTAAGTGTAATAGCTCGCTGTGTATATAGTTAATCATTAATTTTAATTGTCTTTCCTTTCTACTCGAATCTATCTAGGGGTGGACACTAATACTGAAAATCCGAACCAGACCAAATTAATTTGGTTTTCCAGTTCTTTGATATGGTTTCAGTTTTTTTTCGAAAGTTTGATTTTTTGGTTCGGTTTTCGGTGGAAGGAGTTCGATTCTTCGGTGCATCGAAAAACCGCACTTATCTTAAAAGGTTTTAAAAAATTGACATTTGGTGTAATTTTAAGAAACAATTATACAAAAAAATTGTTGTCGAAATATAAATTTCTGAATGTCTAACAATGAATTATGCAACCAATTTTACTTGAGAAAAGCAATTGAAAGCAATGTCTACGTCATTAGAGTATGCTACCTGATTCAAAAAAAATTCTACGTCATTAGAGCAATATCTACGTCATACACCAATTGAAAGCAATATCCGTTTTACATGAATAATATATTAATTCAAAGTCCTAAGCTAAAAGATTATGAAAATATAAGTTTCATGCTAAAATTTCATACGAATAATTCCCATATGTTAAATTACAGTAGCATTTTTTCAGAAAAATTGACCAAAATTTCAGTTAACTTCAAAAATTCATAGAGGCAACCAAAATGTGAGCAATCAATGCAGGCTACTATAATCTGATTTCTGGAAATAACTCGTTTGGAATTTTTGGCATGAAACTTAGTTTTTCAGATTCTCCTTGTTTAGGGCTTTCCTTGATATATTATTCATGTAAAATGGATTTAAAACGAGTGAGAATGCTTCAAATGATACACAAATGAAGTTGAGAATCAATTAGATAGAAGTATTTAAGAAATGATAAAGATCGTGAATATTTGTCAAAATAATTTGAAGAATTATGTATTGAAAAGAGCATTATTAGGCAATTAACTATTCCTCATACACCTCAACAAATTGATGTTGTTGAAAGAAGGCATATGACACTATTGGACATGACAAGGTCCATGATACCATTATCAGATAAATAAGGAGCAAGAACAATGAATCGTGTACCTTACAATCAGAGTGGAAATCGTTGATCTTGCTACCAAAAGAATCAACCCAATTTTTCTTTGAATCTCTTGGAAACAAAGTTTTGATTCTACAAACTAGATGTCCTAATGTTATTGTGTGTTTCTGTTTAGTAAAAGGAGAATTTTTTCTTCTTTACGCTCTTTAGCTCTTTTGATAGAGAAGATATATATAAGAGAGGACTTAGTGGGTGTTTGGATCAACTTATTTTTTAGTGGCTTTTGGCTTTTAAGCTATTTTTGGTTTTGGAAGTGTTTGAATAACACAAAAGTATTTTTAAGCACTTTTTTCAAGCTGAAAAGTACAACAAAAAAGCCAAAAGTCAAAAGTCAAAAGTTGGGTGTTCCCAGCTTTAGACTTTTAACTTATATAAGCCAGTTAAAAAAAGTCAATCCAAACACCTCTTTAGAAAAACTATCAATCGAAAAACTTTTCAAGTTTCCACATTTTAATCTTTGTGTTGTAATTTTATTTAGGAAATTGAATAACTTCCTACATAACCTCCTTTGGTATTCTCTCTTTCAAATGGGTCGGATCGGATCAATCTACATGGGTGACCCATGATCCAAATCAATATCCAACATGATGTTTCTTGTACTTTGATTATCGTATTATTTTGTTGTAGTTACTACTCAATATACTTTGTGATGCTTTCACTTCTGTTTATTCTCTTTCTGGACTGTTTTCTTGAGTCGAGGGTCAGAAACAACCTCTCTACCTCTGAGTTAGGGATAAGGTCTGCATAAACTCTAGCCTCCCTAGAACCCTACTTTATGGAACTACATTGGGTATGTCGTTGTTACTGTTGCTGCTGCTGTTGCTGTTGCTGTTGTTGAATTAACAGGGTATGCTTTGTGCCAACTTAAGTCTCTGCTGGAACCCCATTTATATAAACTGTTTTTGCTAGCCAAATTGATTCTCAGCTGAACGTGAGTGAGCAGTGATAATAACATTCTACAAGTTTTGCCATTATGGCTATATGTCAAATGGAAGGTAGTGAGTAAACAAACATGCACTGCCATCGTTTACATCAGCTACTACAACAGGATTATCAAAGGTGAAAAGCTACTACTAAGAACCACTGAGATAGGTTGGGACTCCAAGCACAAAAAGGCTAAGAAAGTATGTGCTTTGATAAAGGAAGGCGTAAATAAAGAAAAAATAAAATTTATACATAATATTTATTGAAGATATATACATTATGTGTGTATCAGATGTACACATCTTAGGGCCTAAGTGCCTGAACTGAACGCTTTCTAAGCAAGACATGGCACTCAACCTTTTGACATCTAGTCTCTGGGTTTAATCGAGCCTTTGACAACAATGCAATTGAACATGGAACCTTTTGCTGTTTGTTCCACTAGGACTAGATATTATATTTTCTCCCCTTCATCTGCACTTTCACATGTTTAATTCCAATGAATTTGGTGAATGATCAGAGTTCTCTGCAGCTACAATGCTTTCTGCAAATTTTAAGTACTCTTTTCATAGTAGGTGTCAACCTTGGACAATAACTCTTACTGGAACAGTGATAATTAGCTTGAGCTGGCTGATTCTGCACTCGGCTGTAGCCACTGCAGTAGTGATGACTACAATTGCGGCATGGTGGTACATCTTTCTTTATTCTTACCCCAAGGTAAACCATTTTTAGTTTGTATTATCTAATACCAGATTTGATGCTTTTTCTCTAATCATGGTACGGGTACATGGTACACAAGCTAATTTGCTAAATGCGCCAAATTCATTGATGCTGTTTCTCTAATCATTGCCCTATACTTGGAAGTACTGTGAACAAGGGTTAGTGTAGGTTGTCATCTCTGTAGTCTGTTGCCCAATTACAGTAGTAATTTAATCCCTTTAATGATAAAGTGAGCCCAACTTCCTAATATTGCTACTCTCAACTTGCACCCAAGGGTGTGACCTACTGGTAAATGAAATGGAAAGGCCATGGGAAACCAGGATTAAAATCCTAGTAGAGACAGAAACACTAGGTAATTTCTTTCGGTCTGCCTTAGATTCAGTGGACAGGTACCTGGTAAGGTAGCATGCATCTAATGGACTAGCCAAGATGTGTGCAAGCTAACCTGGAACCATTGTTCTAAAGAAAAAAAGATATTGCTTTTCTATTCCTGTGGACTAAAATACGATTCAATATCTGATCCTTCCACATTTCTCTACACCGATCTGAAGGATTTTACATTTGTTCGTGATATAATTGGTATTGGATATATGCTGCAAAGGCTGTGCAGCGGCTAATCTTGAATTGCTATCGAAAAGGAAAAGAGATCTGAATATCTAAATGCACCCACTATGAGGTAGCAAGTAAATGGATCTTCACGTTTGTTCAATAACGTACTTCCGCATCCTCTGATGTCTTTCTCAATATCTTTTCCTAGAGGTGAGGGTCAATAAATTTGGAGATGTGCTTGGGCAACAATATTCTGTTAAGCGGTGTGGGGATTGTTGTTTGCAGCAATGCATGCATATCTTATATCCAATGTTGTTTTGATCTATATGTTTATAATTCAGTTACAGCATGTGATGACAAATTAAGTTTCTTTGAACAAAGTTGCAGTGAATCAATCTTACACTATCCGTGATACTTGTAAGTGGTTACTTTTGAATTTTGGCACTGTAAGATCACTTAGCTGCTTAAGTGGAGAAAGCGGAGATGTCATTTGGTTTTCAATTGCAGTCGACACCTTTGCTATAGCCCTAACCAATATGTCTATAAAGCCAGCCTGCGGCAGTACAGATATATTAAGTTACTTTGAGCTTCCAAGGAGATGTTTCTACTTAAATGACCAATAGTTTTTAGCCTCCAGGATCTTTTTTCCCTTAAAATACTTTACTGGTAACGCTCCTTTATCATGTAAAGGTGAAAGCAGTAGCACTGGGTTATTGTTACTGCTCTGCAGGCATATTCAGATATGATTGCAGAGAGAAGAAAGAGTGTGATAAACGGTCTAGAAGATACACCAGTAATGTTAGGTGGACGCCTCTTGGGCAACAATATTCTGTTAGGTGGGGATGAATTTGATCTATATGTTTATAGTTCAGCCGTGTTTAGTATGTGATTACGAACAAGGTTTTCATCGAACAAACTGCAGTTGCTATGACCAATCTTTAGTAGATAAAGTGGAGGTGTCATTTCATGCAGTTTTTAATTGTAGTCGAACACTTTTGCTGTATACCCTAACCAAGAGGCAGTACAGATTTGCTAAGTTGTTTTGAGTTTCTAAGGATATGTTGCTAATTATTAAGTGGCCCGTAAACTTTAGCCTCTAGATTTTTTATTCTCGATGGGATTGTCTGCTGGCAACACACACCTTTCAGATAAAGTTGGAAGCAGTAGCACTGAATTGATTGTTAATACTCCACAGGCATATTCAGATATGATTGAGGAGAGAAGAAAGAGGGTGACAAACGGTCTAGAAGATACATATGGAGAGAGGAAAAGCCAGTAACGGACGGAGCAGGAACAACGCTGCGTGCATACGTAGATTCATTTCACAATGTTTGCATTTTAAAACTGCGAGTCTAAGGACCCAATAGGGAGATCAATGTAGCTTAAATTTTTGTACTTGCTGTAAATGTCAGACCCCTGGAGAACTCTTCATATGAATGAAAGAAAACAACACATTCTATTCATATATTTTAACTTCTCTACATTAATAAATGCGTATCCTCAGTATTCTGGAGGAATGGCACCATCTAGTTACTCACATATAAAAAATAAAATACAGTAGCCAGCTTTTTGTAACTTGATAACCCAAAATCAACTTCCAGAGTATGCAGATAACTCCACTATTCATAAACACACAGGACTCATTGCCATCTGTTACGCCCCTCCGCGACAGCCAAATTACACATAGTAGCTACTGCAAGCGAACATCGTTGGGCAAAAACCTATAAATTAAGTAAACCATGTGAGATAGCTGGAAAAATCTTGAATTATGGACCTTCAGACAAATGAAACTATAGAATTTTACATACTCCATCTTCTGTGTAAAATTGTTATGCTTACATAGAAAGAAGAATAAGAGCGCAACCGAATGGATGACTCTTTCCATTACATTCAACTCAATCTACCAGAAAAAGGACCACTTTGGATTTGAAGGCTGCCTAGATATTGGGAAAAGCCAAAGTTAACAAGTGAAAAGTATACAAATGACATGTGATTTAAGCACTTCTTGTTACTAAAGACTCACATGTTAATAAAATTCTGATGTTCCAATCACCAAAGTTAATATATCAATCTTAAGTACGCTAAGATTTGTGTATTTGTAGGATAGAATGAACCTACCACAGTTGAGGATATTCATTAGTCTTGGACCCAAACCCTCACTGTCCTGTCATTATTTAGTCCAGCTGAGAGAATCATGTTTTCTATGGGGTGGCAACACACTGAAATGACGGTATCAGTATGCCCTTCAAATTTCTGCAGCAAATTTTTCCCTTGCAAATCCCATACGTAGACACATTGATCCTCTGAGCCACTCACAATATACTTCCCATTCGTGACTGAAAATGTAGAAGTTATGCAGTACACTCTGTTCACATGGCCTGCGTAACTTTTTATGAATTTTCCACTAGAATAGTTCCATAGCTTCTGTACTCGGGGACAATCACAAAAAGCCCAAGTTACAAGTCAGTCGTGCAGGGGAAGTGATATAATTGAATCAAGTCATGTTTTCCATGCTTAAAAGGAAATGTATCATGAAATGGTGCTTCAAAAGGCACTGAATTTTTTGAGTTGTTAAATACTAAATCAATAACAATGAATCAATCCCAAACTAGCTTGGACTTGCTATATAAAAACAACATACCTAGTGTAATCACAGGTAATGTGTATGCAGACCTAACCCTTAACGTTGTTTCTGATAGACCCTTGACTCAAGTAAAAGCAATACAAAACAGTTGGAAAAAAAAACAAGAAGAAGCCAAGACAAAATGCTAAAGAAAGCATGACAAAACATACTAAAAACAGAACAGACACTACATCAAAATAGTACTTCATTCGTATCCATTTTAATCCAATACTTGTAATTACTTTGTGTTTTTCTGTTGCGCATTAGAGATCATCTAAACCTATGAGTTCTCTAAATCTCACACTTGTCCAAAACCTAATGTAAGTGTAACAAAAGCAACAATGCCTTAAATGAAACACGTTGATTGAATTCTTTGCTTCTGTTTATGTTCTGTTCTTAACTAAGCCCCAGTCCACATTGAGCGCTGCTGTTCGATTTTTATCACAAAAAGCCATTTCCTTTGAGCCCAACATATCAACTTCAGATAATGATAAATGATACACACACTAGAAATAGTAAATATTTCTGAATACTTACAAGAGTATTATCTAGGGTGGCAACAAGAATAAACTTGCCATTAGGTGAAAACTTGGCGAAGGAAACTGCTGGAACCTTATCATCAATAAGAGTCTTGAGGCAGGCTCCAGAAGCCGTATCCCATATCTTACAAGACCCATCATGACTACCCGAAACAATCAACGACCCATCTTTGTTGAAATGAACCGAAGTAACTGGCATCGAATGTGCCCTAATCGCGTGGATTGGCTTGCCCGTTTTCACATCCCAGACCCGGAAAGTCTCATCAAACGAACCCGAAACTATGAAATTGGACTGAGGATTGAAATTAACGCAGAAGACAAAGCCAGTATGTCCCCGGAGAGTTTTGACTGACTCAGCTGTTCGTGCATCCCATATACGGAGCGTACGATCGTCAGAGGCGGAGCATATGTAACTTGAATCAGATGACCATGATAGGTCGGAGACGCCATCGGAATGGCCGACGAGACGTGAAAGCTGAGTTAGGGTTTGGGTGGACCAGACGATTAGGGTTTTGTCCAAGGAGGCGGAAGCAAAGAGTTGACCATTATTGGCGAACTTCACGCAAGAGACGGCGCTTGTATGTCCGGTGAGAACTTTTTTCTGGCGGTAGGGAAGGTAGGGTGGAGTCGTTGGTTGATTGTTGTTGTTGTTCGCCATCGGAATTCGGACTCCGGCCGCGGCGGCACCACTACGCAATCCCTCGGCCTCAACTCGTGTTTTTACACAGATAAAGCACAGATTTGTTGTTTACGACTAACGAGTAGGAAAATCTATATATATACTAATTTAGTATACGTGTACAACTGTTAATCAATAAAATTACACGTATAAGAAAAACAAATTTATTAAAAAAATATATTTAAAAAGACTTGAACCTTATTCAATGGATTTAAACGTTAAATAATGTTGTATAATTAAGAAAGAGATAAATCTTTGGTTTTTTGGCTACTTTATTCCGGCAACTATATGGTTGATTCGTCCAATTTTTTGATAAAAAAATTTCAACTGAAAATGAATACACGATAAATTATTAAAAGGGATATCGTCAATTGTTAATTTTGTATAATTTTAAAAAAATTAACTAAAAGAAAACAACTTAAACCAAAAACCAAAATAATTAGAAGAAAACCTAAGGTAGAAGAAGGTATGTTACTCAAATAGACTTTTTTATTGATATATTTGTAAAATTTTAAGTGATTTAGAATTAATTATTATTCATACCTAGAATTATTCTAAATAAAAGCACGCTGCTTTGAAATATACACTAACTAGGATTTAGTTAAAGAAAATTCTAAGTTAAAGGATTTACAATATTCTAAATTTCATTTTGCATGTACTACGTATTATATAAACATCAAATTACTTTATTCTGAAACACAGGTAAAGCTAAGAAAAAGCAAGCACTTAACACGTATCATAATAACTTATCCCAGAACTAAAAGTGAGTTTTCTCTACATAAGATCAAATTCCACAAGTTACAAACCAGGTCATCCAAATTCTTTTCCCCCCTTGTGCAAGGCTTTGCAGGGCAGGCCATAATTCAGCTACATCATGGAGAGAAGCGGAAAAAAGAGAGTACTAATGGAAAATTAATATATATATGCTGAAGGATTATCCCTTATGCAGGCATTATTCGAAGCCTTTCCTCTGAGGTTTGAGATCCCCCAGAAGTACCCTCTTCTGCAAGTAGAGACTGCAAGTCACTGCCATTTGCAAGACTATTGAACTCCACAGCTTTGGATGGCATTGCTGGATAACGTCGTTGGCAGAATGTCATCAGTCTTTTAACTGATTGCAGATACTTCCTAGTTGTCTCATCATTCATGATATGAGCAACACTGTTTGTGTAAATCTTCTCACGAGCTGACCGTTCATGAATACCAACCATAGTAACACCAATAGGCCAAGGTGCATTACCAATTGCCATCTTAATGTACTGATCCATTGCAGCTAGATAGTCCCTCTTCATACAGCATTCAACAACCACAAGTAGTGCTTGCCTAATGTCATCAGGAAGTAACTGGATACACAAGAAGTAAACCATGACAAAATAAGCTTTTCATGCAGAAGAAGTAATCTGAATAGGAATCTTCAAAGGGAAGATAAAAGAAACATATTGGTAAAATGTTTTTTTAAAACTACGACAACGGAAAGTAAAGATCTCATCATCAGAATTAAGCTACAAGAAATTCCACTTTACTAGCATTTGGCTCACACACAAACTTCTATGGACTGGGCAATATTTTAGTAGATAAACCAACAGCACTGCTACATAAATATTAGCTTTCCATCTACACATCTTATATACCCCCTGTGTTCAGAGTTAGCTCAAGAATCTACCATTAGAAATTAGTTCAGTGATTATCATCTTTCTGCACATAAAATTGAACTGATAGACAAATAATCACATTGAGATATACTTGGATTTACAAAACTTCTGAATGACTTGTGGATTTTATTGAGTAAAGGGATAGTATGGGAGGCGTCGGTTTAGCATCCACTATAGTAACAACTAAATCCTTTAACTACTACTATTACACCTGAATCCTGAGCAAGTTGGGATTGACTATATGAATCTTCTAGAACAGGTCGCTCTGTTGAACCTGGGAACTAAATCCAACATTTGATCAAAATAGAAAATAACCTTGGTTTAACTCTAAAACCCTATGCAAGCATCGAGAAGAGTATGTTATGTCCCACCATTCTCTCCAAATGCAAGCATCAAGAAGCATTGTGTCATCAACAACATAGTGCTTATTTACTTTCTCAATTATCAATGCATGATAGCTCTTCCTAATCCAAGTGTTCATTCCTTTCAAAAAGTGTCTGTTCAATGTACTCTTACCTTTTGCCTATCATCCAGTCTTCCTTCCCTTCTCAGAAAGGGGCCTGAGCTTAAGAAGAGTGAACTGTGTGTGGGCTTTTCATTTGTACTTTGTGAAGCTAGCAAATAGTCTAGTTCCTTTAGGCATATCTAATTGCTTCCATGAAAAATTCAGTGCAGAAAATGCAAAAGCTTAGAAGTTCCGGCTTTTCCTTTTTATTGACTAACCCATTCTCATTATCTTTAATAAGCAAAGTAGGCAAAACCCTATAGGTCCCTACCAGCATTGACAAAGGAGGAGTCTGTTAAAAAAAAAGCAAATCTTTCCATTTTTTCTTATATAATCCATTATCTATTGTATAATCATATGACATAGAATAAGATCCTCTCCTACACTTGACTAATCATCATCTATAGGGTTATCATTATCACATGATGAAGGATCAGAGATGAGGTCTCATGCACAGTACATATACATCAATTAATTAAGTTAATGTTATTTTATTTTTGAGAATTAGTACTGTTTAATTAAGTTAATGTTATTTTTTCAGTAAGGTAATTAACTTAGGGAATACACGCATCATTCTATATTTATACACAAGAAAAGTGTACATATCTTTTAGGCATAATACATAAATTGGACCCTAAACTTGGCTTCAAATTTTAAGTATGACCTCTAACTTTCATAGTGCACAAGTAGGCACTTTAACTATCCAATTCTTAAACAAAAAACACGCGAATCCAACAGCCAAATTGTGTGATATACAAACGCTCCTACATGGCTTATTGAGCCACTCAGTGGCTGCCACGTAATTAAAAAATTACACTTATTTTATAATTAAAAAAAAGAAGAAATTAAAATACAAAAGGGTAGGGTCGTATTTTCTTTTCCCAATTTGCTCGATTTTCACTCAACATCAGCGGAGCCCTAGCCCTTAATTTTTTTGCAAATCAAAGTAAAATTGTGAAGATTTGTGGTCAAAGTTCTTATCTTTTGGATGTTTATGTGTTGTTCTTCCTCAATTTAGTTTGGTTATGTTAATTTTTGCTTTTTGAAAGTTTATTTTTGGTAGAAGTTGTCACCATGAATGTAAATTCACTTTTTTTTATACCTGAATTATTTGCAGACCAAGAAATCTTCATTATAGCTCTTTTTACACAAATGACAAAAAAAAATTAGAAGCCATTACAAAAAAACGACCATTGTGCACAAAAAGAGAAAAAAAGCTTGAGTACTAGAATTAGGAAGAAGAAGAAGAAAAATGGGATTTTGATTTGAAAAAATAAAGATATATTTAAAAGGGATTCATTAAGGGTAAAATTGTCATTTCCGCTTTTTTTTTTTTTACTGTTGTGGGCCTCGAAAAATACCTCTGACGCGCCTGAATTGCGTCTCAATCACGCGTTATGCCAGGTTGGATTCGCGTGTTTTTTTGTTTAAGAATTGAATAGTTGAAGTGCCTACTTGTGCACTTTGAAAGTTAGAGGTCATACTTAAAATTCGAAGCCAAGTTTAGGGTCCAATTTATGTATTATGCCTATCTTTTAATGCATGTGCATATAGGACTGTCGCTTTGTCTGCAAATTCATAGAACCATTACTCTTCCAGGTCATTATGCCACAGCTACCTCAGAATATAACATCCTTAGTCACTAGAGGAAGGGCCAGAGGATTCATTAATTTATCCCATCATCTACTCAATCACGGATGACAATGAAACAATTAGAGTAGAGAGCATAACACAGGATGAGACTATATTCGGGTAAGATATAACATAGGATCTATAGTAAGAATGTGCACCTATCCTTCATCAATGTTCTATAATACGTCTTGGAAGAACAAGAGATCATAAATCTTAAAGATCAATTTCAATCAAACTTCAAAGCAAATCATAAGAAATCGACTCCAGCTATGATGAGTTAATGTGTAAAATCAAAATAAATCATCACTAGATGCAAACACGAACTTCTACAAGAGACTATATGATCTTTTATATCAAAGCTAGATCTCCAACAAAGACACCATATTCCATATTGCATTGCCTAGTTCATTCTTTCATAATTTGGATCAACCTAAGACTCAATTCATATGAGTCTGATTAATTAAATTTCTAACTAAGCTTTAATTTCAAGCAATTGTGTAAATGAAGAAAGAAAACTAATATAAAGCTTGCAGCTTTGCAGAAACTGAACATAGCATCTAAACAAAGCAATTAAAAGGCAACAATTACCTTTTTCCTGCAGAACTTGAATAATGGATGCAAGTACCTAGCACACTGCTTAAAAGTAGCGACCATTGATTTCCCCTTGGCCGTCCGCTTTTCAGAATCAGTCATCTCATCAAGCTCCTGACTCCACTCATTCAACAACTTCTTAAAGAACACCAAAATCTTATCCTCATCACACAACTCAACAAAATTCGTTTTCATCCTCTTCAAATCCTTATCATGATCAACCCCCGAGGAGTTTCCATCTCCACTCAAATCTTCGTCACCACCTCCTCCATCTTTATCCTCACCAGAATCCTCCGTTACCTTCCGCTTCCTTTCACTCATCATCCCCGACTTCTGCCGTTTCTTCAATTCCACAATATCCCTCAAAAAGTCATTGGTTTGCCCCTCAGTCATGTCAGAATCGTCAATTTCGAACGTTCCAGCTTTTAATACAAACTTCAAACGATCAAGCCTCGCCTCCTCATCTTCACCAAATAAAGTCACCGGTTGTTTCAGAAACCTAAGTCGCCGAATAACTTCTTGTCGAGGAAGGTTTAATCCATCGATTTTTTGCTCGTCGGTAAGTACTTTGGATACCGATGAAGATGATGAATCCTGCTTGAGGCATTGAGTGTCGGTTTTGGAGTTAGATTTTGATGAGGAATCATCGGTAGACTTCTGATTCTGTTCCAATTGCTTTTGACGGAGGGCTTTGGCCTCAGCTTCGCGTTTTTCCTCTTCGCGAATCCTCTGGAGGCGCTTCTGTTCGATCTCCGACCGCTTAAAAACTTTCCGGCCACCGACGTCTTGGGCCAGATTTTTCCGACGTAGCTCCAATTCCTGTTTTAGTATATCCATCGGCCTAGGGTTTCTGTTGCTCCGATAATTTTCCCAAAAAAAGAAAAAGGAGAAAAGACGAACGAACAGTCTGTTATTCTAATTGGGGATTGGGACCCTGAAGTCCTGTATATATATTTTTCTCCCCCTTTATTTGAGTTTATGTCTCAAACAGCACGCGTTTTTAGTCTCCTTAAAATTTATGAAGCTTTATTTGTTAGATTTGACGAAAATGATGAAAAGAAAGAAAATTAGTGGAGACTTATATTTAGAGATTAAATATTTGTAAATTTTGCTTTTAGAAGTTTAACGTAATTTTTTGAGGTATAATTTTATATTTATTTATTTATTTATAAATTTGTAAGCTAGTACAATAAATTGTGTTTAAAGTTTAAGGTCACGTAGATTATTAAGAAGAAAATATATTTTTCTGATACTTAATGATTTGTGATAAAAAAAAAGTTGAAATAATGAACAAGAGCAATGAATTGTAAAGCAAAAAGAAGTAAAGTGCATACAATATTTATGAGGAAAACCAAGTGCCTTATTCTTGAGGGAAACAAGTATATTTGTAATCTAATCCTATATACTATTTTGTATGAATTCAACCCCTAATAATGATAATGATCAACATGTTAAAGCAGTTACATGTGTGAATGTATAACTTCTGGAGTGAATTTTAATTTTTTTTTTCAAAATCGGTTACAGGGTGAGATTTATCATGGTCGCTTATCAGTCATAGTATTCATGTGAGGTAATCTTTCGATATTGCACCAGATTTAAGATATATCGAAATATAAATCTGACACGATTTCATATTCTTAATTTGTGTCGTTTTTGTTGAGCTGAATCTGACTAGATTTTGACAACAATGTGCTATCTCTTAATACATCCATATGTCTAAACCTTGTTTTGATTTATAGAGATAATCCCCCACTTTTGCATTAAATACTTTTTTTTTTTTGGGTTAACCTGCATCAAATACTAGTGACACACAGAGGATAGTGAATGTACCAAATTTTACTGTTAGTTATCGAAATAATGAGTATCTTTTACTCCTCGAAACTCATATAAACCCCTTCGAGGAGGTTAGTGTTTATAGGATTTTTATGCTACTTTGTTTATAATATAATTTATGATATCATTCCATAGAGATTGAAAAAATTATACTACAAATTTATAATATTTTGACTACTATTATAGAGAATAAAATTGATGAAACATGAATTTGGAAATTGCAAATTATAAAGATTAAAACAAACCACTTTCAGAAAGTTTAAAAAAAGATAGAATTGTTGAATTCACTTGATAATATAATTACAACAAAATATGAGTTTGAACATGCCCTTTCACACCCTCATCTCCATTATCCTCTATCAATTTTTATAGTGTGGCTTAACAATTTGATATCACTAGAGTGGGTATAACTTTGAATATCACCATCTTAAAAATGACATCAAATAGTACCGTCACTCTGTACTACCCTTCCTGTATTCCAAAATTTCATTGAAATCTTATCGAACTTGACATGTGCATCCTACAAATAACATCTTTAACCTCCTCAATCTTTATACAACTACAATGCCCAAAATTGTAACACCACTTTAAAATTTTCCAAAAACTCATTATATTTACACAACCAATGTATTAAATGAATAAGCAGACAGAAAACTAAAAGGTCTTTGAAAGACTTGTATTAAGAGGAAGAAGAGCAGGGAGAGTAGATATTCTACCATCAGCAAGTAGATTTCATTCCGGATCCTGTAGTTACATAATCCAGCAGCTTTAATCATGTTGCCACAGGCAGATTTAACTTCTTTTGGGAGTAATTTCCAGTAAAACAGAAATTCCTAACAAAATTAACAGGGACCATTCCAGTTCCTGAGTGATCTTTACAATGAAAAATTCAAGGTAGTTTTTTTACAAAGGCATGTGACAAGCCTATTGCACCAGATGAACCTTCCAAGGAAAGCTTCATTACTGCACAAACTCCATATACACATTGAACAGAACTGTTGTCAAACTTTCAGCAGTTCCTGAGATCAAACGTAAACATGTTTCAATAAAATCTTACTAACCTTCATTGTGTAAATAAAAAGGAAGCAGAAGTGAGTCAAAAGGTGAAGCATGGTAAACGAGGAAACAACCAAACCTCGCAATGGAAGAGGGAAATATTGGAAAAGAAAGCAGACTACCATCATATTATCAATTGGATAAGATTAACATGGAACAAGGAAAATGGAAGGGAGAAGCAGCTGCATTATAATACTCCATTTTCCAGTAGAAGCCTTTTTTCGGAGGATGACAAATGTTCCTATTTATTTGGTCAGCAAATAGAAGATTGCCAGACAACACAAGACTAGAGAGTTTGAATTGGGAAAAAAAAGAGTAAAAACTCTTTTTGGGGTGTGCATGCTTGAAATCAATGATTCCGTTTCCATTAACGGACTGCCTGTAACAGACACAAGATGATGCTAGACTCCCATTCCAGTTATGCAGAGCCTAGTCAATGCACATTAGGAAACACACAAGGTATCTAGAAAGGCCTAACAAAGCACAAAGGTGCAGAGAAACATGGTGTGGTGAAGAGAAGGGTAAGGAAATATTTCTTTATTGCCCAAATCAGAACTTAACTGCTGATACTCAGTTTCTGCTTGTTTATAACTTATTAGAAAACAGTTACCAGGGATTTAGAGTCTACCCATAAATTTTTGCATACACGACATTTTATCTCAAACCACATGATATTCTTGATTAACATACCTTCTCCTTCTGCTTGAAGACAGTATCAATCTTCTTCATGTATTCATCTGTCACTTTCTGTGTAGAAAAAGGAAGAATGACACAAGTAGAAGACTTCAGATTGCACTATAATGATGATTATTAGTAGTAATTTGAGCTATTTTCTACTGCAGGTTTGAGAAATTAGAGCAAAAGTTGGTATTACGAGAAAATCTGAAAACAATTTTATTTCTTCTTCCAGTAGAATCCAAATGAAGTATTTAACAGTTAAAGCGTACAATTTATGAGACAATTGTTTAAACAGATATGGATAATCACTTTCTGTTTTGGAACTCTTGTGCCATGAACATCAAACTTTGTTAGTTACCTGTAAATCACTAGATAGGTCCTTCACATTGTCTTCAGAAAGCTTTTTCTCCTGAAAAAAAAGTAAAGCTTCCTCAATATCTAGCATCCGAAAGATATGGGCCAAAAATTGCCTAGAGCTCAAACCTTCTCAAGTTTTTCATAAGCTTTTAAGGCATCTCTTCTTATATTCCTTATAGCTACCTGCAAATATTTTATGAGAAAGAGATAGTAATAGTCCAACGGACATGATCAATAGGCAATATAAGCACAATCAACTACTCCATCCCTAACCAACAGATAGATTCAAAGTAAGAGGGCAAGCTATCTGACTTTGAATATCAGAAGACAAAAGGTTTTTCCATTCAGAATATCAGCGCTGGTTTTTTTCATTACATAGAAATACCAGAGGGAAAATGACGAACTGTACTAAATTCAGTGGTTATTGGGCCTGCCCCTTCTACCGTTCTCCACTTAAATGTTAGGCTTTTGTTTACGGCAGGGTTTGAACTCGTGACATGCGCTTAACCCACACATCACACTTTGTGCTCTTACCATTAAACCAACGCCCAGCGGATAGAATAGCAGCAGTATAATCTAAACATTCTTAAAAGTGAAACATTAGTTGAAATGTTTAGGTATTTCGTGGACAGAAAAGCTTTTTTTAATTTCAACAATAAGTGTGTCACTATTGGGAGGGAAAGAGAAAGAGTATGAAAAGTTAGTTCAACATCATATACTGGCTGCAATGATAATTCAGTCAATCATGTCAGAATTTTAACACTCTATACAAAGCAAACTAGACATAAAAGAGGCATATTTGCAACAAAAAGAAATGAAAAATTGATAACAAAATGTAAGAAATTCTCTTCCTCACAATCCCAGTTCTAAATGTGTCATTTAGTATCTTTTTGTTGGATGATTGAACTACCCCGTTGTTCATAACACCAAGTAAAGCTTAATACAATAAGGACCCTGGAGAGGGTACCTCTACAAGCACCGAGTACAGGTATAAATATACCACAGTCATGGCCAATTGTAAATCTGAAACCTCAGGTGCTCCAAAGGACAAATAGGAGCTATTTCTAATAGTAGATCCCACTAGATTAAGAATAAAGATTTTTTTTTCTTTTGGAAAGCAGAAAATAACATAGAAAAGGAGTTAGAACAAGCTTTTAGAACAGATAAAACTTACCTTTCCTTCCTCGGCCTGTTTAGAAACAATTTTGGATAACTCCTGGATAAAAAGAAGAGAAATAAAAGTGAAAACTAAAATATACTCAGTGTCAGAAATTGAATATACTGAATTATTCGCAAATTTACCAACTCATAAACTTTGGGGAAAACCTATTAAGTGGACTTAAGTAGAACTAGATCAAAAGCTGCAAGTCTATTTTTCATAAAAGCATGCTATTGTAAGCCATAACTTTCGAAATACTTCATAATAAAAAAGGACAAATGTTCTGAATCAATTAACAGAATGGATGCCCATCAATTTGGAAGCAAAGATTATTTTTGGGAGTGTGCACCTGTCACACAGCTTGAATAGGAAAATTTCGCGTGTAGTTGAGATAAGAAATAATTCGAGTTTGTCAGTCCTCTAATAAAAACTAGGTCACTCAACCAGTTATTAAACCTATATGTCTAGTCATTTAGGAGAACTGAATAGTGTAGGCAGTGCCCCTAATTTCGTCTGAGCAATATAGAGAAGTCAGGAAGACTAGATGATGTCAGATACACCAGAAGAACTTCACATTGGTGAACCAATAACGTATTGTCATGAGAAATGATAGCATCAACTTTAAATGAGAGATGTAAGCAATGAAAGCTTGATTCCAGTATCAATTCAAACATGAAAGTATATTGTCCTTCAAATTAAATGGGCTTTAGTTGCCAAAGCAATGAAATATTACAGCCATATATGAACTTAAGATCATTGGTTACTATAAAAACACATGAAATAAACATAAAAACAACAAAAGAGGTATGAATTAGTTTAGGCATCACTCTTTACATCTGTATTTTCTTTTTCAAACTA